TTGTTTTGTTTATTTTAAATATCTTATTTTGAGGCACGTGATTAAGCAGAATGAAAAGAAACATGGCTTAAGATACTGTTTTTCTCTCACTCTTGAACCACAGATCTGACAGATTATAACAGCTGTAACACACACCCTTCAAAGTTGTGTTTCACTAAAACACTTTGTAATCCACTTAAACTCAAAACCCATTTTCGGATCGCGAATTACGGGTTGTAAATGCAGTAAACGGACGTTCTAAACATTCTACTGGAAGACACTTGTCACTATGGCGCCCTCCATGTAGTAGTCAAAAAAAAAGGTGTTTACCTGTAACAAGTAGGGGTGTGAATTTGCACTGGTCTCATGGTTTGGTTCGGTTGCGATAATTATGCCATCGATTTGGTTCAATTCGATATCTCGGTGCATCTCAGTTTATTGACGATGTTTTCCATACATAATTAGATTTTTTCTTCACAACACATTTTTTTTATTAAAATTTATAAATATATTTATATATTATTTGTAATGCAATTTTTTTCTTTAATACAGCAGTAAGATATATGAAATGTTCCCTTTATTTGAACTGCTCAAAAAAATAAAAAACACTCTTTCTGAATGTATCAAACAAAACTCACAGAAATTAGATGCTCACAGAAAATGCACAGAAGACAGCATGAGCATTTATAGCAAATAAACTAATGTAAATTTTATCTTGCTTGGTTACAGTCTGTATGCGCATAATAAGTGATTATCACAGGAAATCTATAATAGTACTAATTACTTTAATGATGTAAAAGTGGAAGTAGGAGAAAAAGACAATACTCCAGCAGAGTACAGATACAGCCTTTTAGTCCTTAAGTACTGTAGTGAAGTAGTTCTACTTCGTTACTATACATCTCTTTGGGTGGTAACGCAATATTGTCATGTACTACTTTTAAAAGCAACTTTCCCCAACACTGCTCCAGTGTTTTCAGTATTCCTGTGATTTGCACCGTTACATAGAGAGTTTAACAATTACATGCCTATATAGGCAGTTGATTGTGCAGTCGCTGTGATTACATTAGAAAAACTAGCTGTTACTTCAAATTACGTCTAATGTTTAATCAACTACGAATTAATTGCAATGTTTCTCACTTGTGGTGGTGTGTAGTTTAATGTTTGCAACTTCATTTCATTGCCTCTAAGAGTAACCAATAGACAAAAATATGAGAATTTGAGTAAAGAAGTCATGAAGCTTCAAAATCAAATCAAATCACTTTTATTGTCACATCATCAGCAGCACGTGTGCTTAGGTGCTGGCTCCAGACAGTGCAAATACAACAACAGTGCAAAAAACAGACTGGAAAATACAACAACATACAACAGCATACTCCTAAAAAACAGGACAATGTAAAATTGGCAATGTTGACAGTGACATAGCAATGAATAGCTGTCCACATAGTTGTAGGCAGTATCATTTTAAGTATGAATTGCTTAAAGTGCAGTGCATGCTAAATATTGATGGTATGCAGTGAGGGTTTTTGGAAAGTTTTTTTTGGAGTGTGTTAAGTGTTCATCAGCCTGATAGTCTGAGGGAAGAAACTTCCCTTCTGTCTATGGCTCGGGTGGCTGGAGTCACTGATGATTCTCTTGGCTTTCCTCATGCCCTCCCTGTGTAGATGTCCTGGAGGGAGGGAATCTTACCTCCTACTACGCGGCCAGCAGTTCGCACAATCCTATGCAGGCCTTTGCGATTGCTGCTGGTGCTGTTTCCATACCAGGTGGTGATAAAGCCAGTCGGGATGCTCTCCACAGTGCAGGTGTAGAACGAGCGGAGGATGTGGGGGCTCATTTCAAACCTCCTGAGACGCCTGAGGAACAAGAGGCGTTGTTGTGCCTTCCTCAGCACTGCTGTGTGAGCAGTTCCTGCTGTGTGAGCAGTTCCTGTCAGATCCTCAGCGATGTGGACTCCAAGAAACTTGAAAGTGTTGACTCTCTCCACTGGTGTCCCATTGATGGTGATGGGAGTGTGTTCTCTCTTCTCTCTCCTGAAATCCACCACCAGCTCCTTGGTTTTGCTGATGTTGAGTGAGAGGGGGTTTTCCTGACACCACTGCACATCTGTTGGCTGTCTCATCATTATTGGTGATTAGGCACCGTTGTGTCATTTTTTAAATTTAACGATGACGTTGAAGCTGTGTTTGGATGTACAGTCATATGTGTACAGGGAGTACAAGAGTGGGCTGGAAACACAGTCTTGTGGAGCACCAGTGTTGAGGATCAGTGTGGATGAAGTGATGTTGTTCATGCTGACCACCTGGTGTCTGTTTGACAGGAAGTCCAGGATCTAGTTGCACAGAGAGCTGTGTAGGCCCAAAGCGCTGTCATGGGCTTCAAATCGGGCATAGAATGAGTTGAGCTCATCCGGGAGAGATGCAGCAATGTTTACAATGGTGGGCTTGTTACTTTTAAAGTCTGTGATGTAATTAAGTCCCTGCCACATGCTCCTTGCATTGTTGGTGTTAAATTGACCCTGTACCTTGTCTTTGTATGGAGGCTTTGCTGCTCTGATGATTTTTCTGAGGTTGTAGTTAGCTTGGTTTTTGTTCCTCAGCATTTCTGGATTTATTGGCGTAAGTTTGCACTGATAGGGCTGTTCGAACTTCGCCATTGATACATGGTTTTTGGCTGGGGTAGATATTAAAAGCTTTTGTTGGGACCTCGTCTTCTATACATTTTCTAATGAAGCACGTAATTGTGTCTGAGTACACTTCGATGTCGTCATCAGAAGCTGCCCAGAACATCTCCCAGTCAACTTGATCAAAAGTCTTTAAAGTTAGGAATCCAATTGGTCTGACCAGCTCTGAAACATCCTGAGGGTGGGTGGTTCCCATTTCAGTTTCTGCCTGTAGCGGGCAAGAGCAGAACAGAAGAGTGTGCCGATTTGCCAAATGGTGGGCGGGGGAGGATATGAAAGAATATGTGGGCCTGTAGCACGCAAATTTTATTGTCCCGTGACTGAACGTTAGCCAGCAGAATGGTGGGGAGTGGATGTCAAGATCCACCGTCACTTAGTCCGATGAGAATGACAGCTCTCTTTTCTCTTTTTTTCTGGCTGCGTTTTCATCATCACTTCGTTTGTGTGACCCAGACAAAGGGCTCTGTTGCTGTGTTTGTAAACAGAGCGTCATTAAAGAACTTAAAGTCCGATCTTCAATGTGCCAACTTCCCGAAGTGTGTGTCTGTTGTAGGCAATAAGAGTGTGTACATCCAGCACGAGAAACTGCAAAAATACAAGTAAAACACACAAAACACAACAAAGTTTGCTGGGAGCTTGCAACGCGACAGACATGCTTGGCACCATCTTGGATAGTCTAGCTTGCATGGAGAAACACATATACGCTAATTTTGACGTTATTTCATCCGACTGTGAGTGTGAAAGCTGCTGTATGCATAGTTTACACAAGGCTTGAGTACTATTTTCATCTTTGCATTGCTAACTTTAAAACTACTATTAACCAAATGTGTGTAATCTTAGAGCAGGGGTCTACACTCTGTCCTGGAGGGCCAGTGTCCTGGAGAGTTTAGCTCCAACCCTAATTAAACACACATGAACCAGCTAATCAAGCTCTTACTAGAAAGCTATATAACCCTGCAGCCCAAGACCAGTTACTCACTGAAGCTAAGCAGGGCTGAGCCTTGCTAGTAGCTGGATGGGAGACCACATGGAAAAACTAGGTTGCTGTTGGAAGTGGTGTTAGAGAGGCCAGCAGGGGGCACTCAACCTGCGATCTGTGTGTGTCCTATTGCCTCAGTAAAAGTGATGGGGACACTATACTGTCAATGGGTGCCATCTTTTGGATATGACGCTAAAACTAGTGTAGAGGTGTAACCTCGGTGTCCTGGCCAAAGTCCTTCAAAGGCCAAAGTCCTTCAATCGGCCCTCAAAATCATGGCCTCCCAATCATCCCCATCCACCAAATTGGCTCTATTACTGTCTCTCTACTCCATCAATAGCTGGTGTGGGGTGAGCAAACTGGCGTCATTGTCCTGTGGCTGCCGTCGCATCATCCAAGTCGATGCTGCACTCTGGTGGGGGTGTGGAGAGACCCCTCCTCATGATTGTGAAGCATTTGGGTGTATGGCCATACACAATAAATGTGCTATGTAAATGCACATTACCTTACATTACATTATAGTACATATACTAGAAACTTCTGGGCAGGTGTTTTAAAGCAAGTTGGAGCTAAACTCAGTAGGACACTGGCCCTTCAGGACTGAGTTTGGATACCCCTGTCTTAGAGGATGAGCTTTGATATGATATAATTTTTTGATAGGTTACCTTAATGTACAGGTGGACACACACTGCATGAATACAATACATAAGGCTATGTGCGAGACTGCAAATGGTACCCTTTTACTACCCTGCAACAAGCATTTTATATAATTTGTTATTCAAATGGTCTGTGTGCTGAACTCTTCACTGTCCTGTGTCTTGCTCTCTCATTGACTCTGTAATCACTGATAAGCTTTTCATTCAAAACTCATTTTACACAGCATGATTTTTAATCACAGAGGAGGTCCATATATTTAGCATTCCAAATATGTGATGCAGAAACAAATGTCAGGCATTATGGGCATTTGGGGGTGATATCACAAAACCTGTCCGAGAGTGAAAAAATCTATTTAAAATTGTGCAGCGTGAACTCAGCAATAACGGAAGCATGTGCAGAGTTATGGGGCTTCTTGATCTCATTGAGCCAAATTATTAAATGATCAGAGAAAGTGTGGATCAGATAATATGTAAAAATTATGAGTTTTACAACATTTCCTTGGCATACACGCCTTTTTAATATGACTCACTACATCCAAAATATTCGCCCCAGTTGATGGAATATATGTGTGTGTGTGTGTTTGTGTATGTTTGTTTGTGTGTGTGTGTGAGACAATAAGTCTGGTAGCCTCTAGTCATAGAATGCTTCTATAATGCTGACATACTTTCAAAAGCTTATCTTTTTTTACCACCTATTTTCCTACAGGAACCAGACAGTTCTTCACCAGTTTTGTTGTCCTGCTCCAGACGCCCCTGAATCTGACTCTCAAGCCTGTGTACCCAGGTAGGGTTGTTTATTGGTGCTTTCTAACAAAAAAATCCATTGCCACAGTAAAGACCATGTTTCTGGTCATTCTAAGCAACACAACTGCCCTACTTAAACCCATCCTGAAGTGGTTGTGAGTCTTTTCATGTCTCGTTTCCTATTAGCAAATTCAGTTTCCATGATTACAGTTAGCTGTGACTTGACTGAGCAACAGCTGATAACATTTTCATCTAAATCAGGCAGAGAAAAACATGTGTATCTAATTTTGAAAATTCATCAGTTGGCATAAGTTCTGCATCACTGACTTATTTTGAGGCTGCAGGAAAAGTCATTTTTGGTCTAAGTAATTTCCAATTCTGATAATCATGTTTACACAAGGTTTTCAGTGTGTATTTTGCTTTGAAGTAATAGCTGAAATCCGTCATCATAGAGAACCCAATCTTCTGGCTTTTTAAATCTCTTAAAATACTAGTTTTGTTCTTAAAAATAAAAAAGGCAGCAAAAAAACAAGCACCAAAAATAATTAATTATTTGTAACGTGTAATGTTTTTAAATAAAATAAAATGTATGTTTTAATTGTTACTACTGTTTAAACTTTAAATTAAATTAAATTCTACTGTAAGATTAATGTGTATGGCAATGATGTGGTTAGCTTTTTGGAAACACTTTATTTTGATAGTCTATTTGAGTATTAGTAGACTGTCTGCTTAATATCTGTCAATACTTCGGCTATATCAAACATTTAACTGACTATAAGAATCTTTGCAAGTACATGTCAACTTAAAATAACCATTACCATAACTCCAACCCAACAGTCTACTTATAATCTAATGAGAATTAGTTGACATGTAGATGCAATGTAACTTAAATTCAACAAACGAACCATCAAAATAAAGTGACCTTTTTTTCTTTTCTTAATGTAGAAATCAGTTAAGGGCGAGGCAGTGGTGCAGTAGGTAGTGCTGTCGCCTCACAGCAAGAAGGTCGCTGGTTCGATCCTCGGCTCAGTTGGCGTTTCTATGTAGAGTTTGCATGTTCTCCCTGCCTTTGCGTGGGTTTCCTCCGGGTGCTCCGGTTTCCCCCACAGTCCGAAGACATGCGGTACAGGTGAATTGGGTGGGCTAAATTGTCCGTAGTGTATGAGTGTGTGTGTGTGGATGTTTCCCAGAGATGGGTTGCGGCTGGAAGGGCATCCGCTGCGTAAAAACTTGCTGGATAAGTTGGCGGTTCATTCCGCTGTGGTGACCCTGGATTAATAAAGGGACTAAGCCGACAAGAAAATGAATGAAATCAGTTTATTAATTAATGCATACATGCATACATTCATAAATATGTCTCAGTTACTGTCATAACCATTGTTCCCTAAAGGAAGGAATTGAGGCTTTATGTTGGAACAACATTATGGGGAATCTCTTAATAACCAATTACTCTGAAGAGTAAGACAAAGTTAAAGTAATTGCATGTGAATTTACAAGAGAAGCTCCTCACAGGTGTAGCTGCTTAAAGTCAATTGAGTATATAAATAACATTAGGAGAAGATCTGACAAATGACATAAAGACCCTGCAGCTGCATGCTCGTAGTACATAGCCACAACCCCCCAGTCTGTCCAGTGACTGAAGGTATGGCAACACTGCGTGGTGATAGTCTCCTGGTGTGTTTATGCTCACCATGCCTATCTGGTTACCTGATCGTGAAGCCAGCAATGAAGTGGTCTCATATGAAACATTCTGAGCAGTGAACATGACTATGGGTGCCATATACGCCAAGAGCCTCTAAAGAAACCTCAGTAAGACCATTATTTTCCCGTTGAATTGCTTCAGACAGGCCAACAAAAGTCTAGCACATTACTTGGTCATGGGGATTGAGTCTAGCTTCATGCTGAGACAGGGGCAGAGCATGTTGTTATCTTGGTTGACCCGAAGCACCAACAGTCGAAATGCCAGAGCACCATGTTTCTGTGCACAATCAACTGAACCGTAGACTGAGCTAAAATGAGCAAGTCGATGAGATGCAGATGCTCGTGAGCCAGTGCAGTACTGGCTGTCCCTTATGAATTTAGAGAAAACCTGCATGTACAAAGACAGTCCATATTGCAGGACTTTGCACTGCACTGCCATACCCTGCCCTTGAACGCAAACCAAAGAAACAATCAGAGGTAAGGTAACATTGAGGCATGAAAATATGCATCCTTCAGGTCTGTGGTCGGCAACCAATCCTGTGGACGGACATATTGGATGATGCAATACACACTGCAAGATGGATCAGTGATGGGGGGTTCCTCTTCATGGGAACTTCTACATGTGTCTGTATAAACAGACTTTGGGAGTGCTTTAGATGACCAATCACTTCTAAAGATATGAAAATGGGTCAATGAAATGCCAAATTAATTGGCAGAGCTTAGCTCCACAGCTGAAACTGATGAGCCAATTAGGGCTATATCAGGCTGTGTGAGTTAGCTCGTTAGAATTGTTGCTTCAGACCTGATCTGCGACTGAAGAATCCTTCTGCTGAGCTGACTTCCAACGTTGAAGAAAGCATTTCCTTTACCAGTGTGGGAGAAGACGTTTTAGCGGCGGTTGAGCTGGGTTCCCCTTCGGGTGGGGAACTCTAATGCTATTAGTGGATTTGATTTAGAAAATTGGGAGGATTCGGTTCAGAAGCCACTTGTCTGGAAAAGTATGGAACGGGCCAATGAAATGCCAATCCAAGCTTCGGGCAGTGGGAGTGATCTGTCTAACCAGATGGTAGCTCTCACACCCGCTGACACCGGAGACCAAACGCAGTATCGGAGGTTGGGCTTTCATTGTCCAACGAAGATCCAGACCCGCTCGCCCCCTCTGGGCAGGTGAGCGCTGTCAAAATGGGTGCTTTTCCGGGCTGCTTCGGCCGTGGGGTTGGAGTTGGTTCATCCCCCAGCTCCGCGGCCAGACTGACTAGATGGGTGTTATGTAGAGGACCAGAAGGCGAAGCCTCCCTTCTTCCCGGAGGTGCACAGTAGGCTCACGCAGTCTTGGAGGGCACCTTTCTCTGCCCGTGCTGCATGTCCCTCCGCCCTCACCGTCCTTGACGGTGGAGCTGCCAGGGGGTATGAGGCGATCCCGTCGGTGGAGCGCGCTATCGCAGTCAATCTTTGCTCGCAATGCGCCTCGACTTGGCGGGATCCGCCCCGTCTCCTGTCCGAAGCCTGTAGGTTGTCTGCCTCCCTCAGAGCCAGAGCTTACAAGGCTGCGGGCCAGGCTGCTTCCGCCTTGAACGCAATGGCCACCTACCTGCGCTACCAAGCGCAGGCGCTGGCCGAGCTGCACAAGGGCGGGTCTAACCCAGGCTTTTTACACGAGCTGCGCACCGCGCCCGACTATGCTCTTCGGACTACTAAGTCCGCCGCGTGTGCGCTGGGGAGGACAACATCCACACTAGTGGTCCAGGAACACCACCTCTGGAATTCAATTCGGTGAGAGAGCAGTCGCTCCTGCACCTCCGCTGCTCCTGCGCCTCCGGCCAAGCGGGCGCGTTGAGCACCTCGAAAGCAGACAGCCCCCCCCTTCCCAGGGCGCCGTTAAGTCCGGTAAACGGACCGCGAAGCGTCCCTGAGACAGGCCATCCGGAGAAGAGTAAACTTGCTCTTTCCCCGCTGGAGGGCAGGGCGACTATTCCAAGGGTACTTTTCAGTGCCACGAAAACATCAATGAAAGAGCACTTTTCCCCTTCCCCAGATGTGACAGCACGAACCTTGCCAGTCCGGGACGCGCTGCCTTCCAGCTCGCAGGTTCTATGTGCTTCGCCAGTGGCTCACGAGCGCTGGGGAGAGGGTCTCCTTTCCCCCAACCCTCGAGCCCCCTCTCCGGAGTCAGGGTGCGAAGTCAGAGTGAATTGCTCTCCTCCAGCTCTTCCACGGGACCCTCGCGCTTCCCGGATCAGCACACCCACTCCGCGCTGCCCCACCGCTGGTACGTCAGCGATTGTAGCGATGACTCCATTAGCGAGGGCTCTGCCTGCCTGGTTAGCCCTGCTTAGTTCGCGGTGGGTCATACGCACAATCAGACTCGGTTATGTGATTCAGTTCGCGAAACGGCCCCCCAAGTTCACGGGTGTGTATTTCACCAGGGTCAGCCCCCTGTCCGCCCCTGTCTTGCAAGAGGAGATTTCTGCCCTCCTGGCGAAGGGTGCAATTGAGCCAGTTCCTCCACCCGAGATGGAGAGTGGGTTTTACAGCCCGTACTTCATCGTACCCAAAAAGAGCGGTGGGTCACGACCAATCCTAGATCTGCGCGTTTTGAACCACTGTCTGCACAGGCTGCCGTTCAGAGTGCTCACGCAGAGGCGCATTCTCCAATGCGTTCATCCTCGGGATTGGTTTGCAGCCATAGACCTGACGGACGCGTACTTCCATGTTTCCATTCTTCCACGCCACCGTCAGTTTCTGCGGTTTGCATTCGAAGGTCAAGCGTGGCAACACAAGGTCCTCCCCTTCGGGCTCTCTCTGTCTCCGAGGGTCTTCACCAAACTCGCGGAGGGTGCCTTAGCCCCCCTTCGGCTCGCAGGCATCCGCATACTCAATTGTCTCGATGACTGGCTGATTTTAGCCTACTCGCGGGAGCAATTGATTATGCACAGAGACAAGGTGCTCCGGCACCTCCGACTGTTGGGGCTTCAGGTCAACCGGGAAAAAAACAACCTCGCCCCTGTGCAGAGGATCTCTTTTCTCGGGATGTAGCTGGACTCAGTCACCATGGTCTCTCCGGGGAATGCGCTCGCCTGTTGCTGGACTGTCTGAGAGAGCTCGACAGCAAACTAGTGGTCCCACTGAAGTACTTTCAGAGACTCCTGGGGCATATGGCATCCGCAGCCGCAGCCGCCGTCACGCCGCTCGGATTACTCCATATGAGACCACTCCAGCACTGGCTTCACGATCCAGTCCCAAGACGCGCATGGCACGCGGGCACACACCGCATGGCACGCGGGCACACACCGAGTCGCTGTCTCGCTTCGCCCTCAGCCTTTGGAACGACCCCTCGTT